TGCAATGGCGCAATCTCGGCTCACCGCAACCTCTGCCCCCTGGGTTCAGGCAATTCTCCTGCCTCAGCCTCCTGAGTAGCTGAGATTACAGTCACGCGCCACCGTGCCCAGCTAATTTTTTGTAATTTTTAGTAGAGATGGGGTTTCACCATGTTGACCAGGATGGTCTCAATCTGTTGACCTCGTGATCCACCCACCTCGGCCTCCCAAAGTGCTGGGATTACAGGCTTGAGCCACCGCGCCTGGCCTTGTGGCAGTCTTTTATAACCTTCATACAAAGAGAAGACCCAGGATGTTGCTCATTTTTCTGAGCTGTGAAAGACAGTATTTCTTCTAACAGCTGACTTGAGGTATGAGACTCATCATCACACTTGTAAGCTGACCACAGTATATGTCCCTAGGAAGGGAGCTAGCAGGGGAGTCACATCAGCTGGGATTTCAGCCAAGGGTATCTCACAGTCTTCCCTGAGGGAGCCAAGCAGGAGTGTCACATCACCTGGGTGCTGAGCCAGGGATATGTTACATTTCTGTTCTGAAAGCACAGCACAGGCCACAGAGTCAATATCACCTGGGTGCTGGGCTCAGCACTGTCACAATGTTCCCTGTGGGCAAGACAGAGGCAGAAGAGCCACATCACCTAGTGTCTGATTCCAAGGACATGTCACAATCATTCCTGTGCAGGGGAGGGTGCAGGCAAAAGATAAATGTCACATCTTCTAGGTCATGGGTGCAGATATATGTCACACGGTCCCTGTGGGTAGAGCCAAGGTAGGAGCATGCAATCCCATAGGCGTTGGGCCTAGTGATATTTTACAATTCCCAAAATATATGAGGCCCAGGAAAAACAGGAGAGTCACATCTCCTAGGTGCTGGATCCAGTGATATCCCACAATCCCCACCTTTTTTCAGGTCCAGGCAAAAGAGGAGAATTATATCACCTAGATGATGAATGAAGATATATGTTATTATACCTCTGAGTGCAGGGCCCACGAATGAGATTCACATCACCAAGGTGTCAGAACCAGCCACATGTCACAATACAAGAGGAACCAAGCAGAAGAGTAGAGTCACATCACCTAGGGGCTGGTCCCAGCAATATATTAAAATCCTTTCTTGGGAAAAGTCCAGGAAGTAAAGTCCAGTCACATCATCTGGGCACTAGGCCCAGTAATATGTCTGAAGGCCCTCTGTGAAAAGCACTGAGGCAAGAGAATAAACTCACGTCACCTAGGTGCTGGGTCCAGCAATATGTCACAATCCCATCTGTATGTTGGGCCCAGGCAGAAGAGTCCAATCACTCAGCTGCTGGGCAGAGGTGCACGTCACAATCACACCTGCATGAAGGTCGAAGCACGATATTAACAATCCCATATATTTCCTAGTTCTAGGTATGAGATCTAACACCTCCCGTATGTTGGGTCTAAGTACATGAGTCACAATTTCAATGATGGTCTGGATCCGTGTATGAGAGCCTCAATCCCTCCTGCAAACTGTGTCCCCTAAGTATAGTCACAGACTCACAGGTGTGCCAAATCTTGGTCTGAAAGACGCCAATGCCACCATGGACTAAATTCACATATGAGTTTCGATTTTCCAACATCTGACTGCCTCAGGGTATGAGATTCAGAACCTCAATGGTGAGCTGTGTTTATGTGGACAGATGAAATTTTGCTGTTGGCAGGTTATACATATGAATGTCACAACTTCATCTGTGTGTTGAGTTCTGTTGGGACATTCGCTGTACCCACTGACAGCTTTACACAGTATGTGAGAGTGGTGATTCTCTATGATCTTCATACAAAGAAAAGACTAAGATATTACTCATTTTCCAAACCCTGGCTATGACAGGCAGTGTAACTGCTATTGGTTGTGTCGAGGTATGGAAGTCATTATTGTACCTGCAAGCTGGGCCGAGATATACGTCACAATCCCCCCAGCGAATAGGGACTGGCCAGTAGACTCACATCACCTGGGTTTTGGGGCAGTGATATGTCACAATCTCCTCTGAGGGCAGGGACCAGGCAGCAGTGTCACATCTCCTGGGTACTCAATTAGGGATATGTTACAATCCCCTCCTGAAAGCAGAATACAGTCAGCAGTCACATCACCTGGGTGCTCAGACCAGGGATGGTGATTGATTGCTGGGCTCAGAACCCATGTGATGTGTCTCCTGCCTGGACCCTCCCTACAAGGTGCATTGTGACATATCTCTGGGCCCTCTGAATATTTGATGTGACTCTGCTCTTACCTGTTGCCCAAAAAAGAGATTGTGATATAACTTTGGGCCCAACACAGAGGTGATGTGACTCTCCTCTCCTGCCTATTCTTTGCCCACAGGAGAACGACTTATCGCTGAGTTCAGCACACAGGTGATGTGATTCTTCTGCTCACAGAAGTCACTGTGACATATATCTGAGCCTATCACTGAGATTATGTGACTCTCTTCTTCCTGTGACCTGTCCACAGTGGGGAGCGTGACATTTTGCTTGGCCCAGAACCTGCATGATGTGACTCCTTTCTTATGCCTGGGCCCCGCCCACTGGGGTGATTTTGATATGTAGCTGGGCCCAGCCCCAAGGTTATGTGACTCCACACTTGTTCCTGAGCCCCACCCACGGGGGCCATTGTTTCCACAGTACATTGAGTTACTGTTGTTTTTTTCTCTCTCTCACGCTTCTTCCTGCACACTGAAGTTGCTGTTGCTGTTCTCCGGAACTCCAGCGGCAGTGGACAAGGCAACTCTGGAAAGACGGTCGTCCCGGTGGGCCACAGACTGTGCTGTCAGCCCAAGTGGCCTCTGGAGAAGGGGGCCTTTACTGCTAGCCAGCCGCTAGGTGGAGCCCAACGACCACCCACGCAATAGTCAGCCAGGCTAGAAAGAAAATATATGTACATGCCTAAACTGATCAAAGAACAATCATACCCAGTCAGGGTGGTGATTTTCTAAGCAACAAGGGAGAAAGCAACTTTGAAGAGGGGACGGTAGAGAAGACACAGTTGCCCCAGTCGGTGCACAGGCTTTTCTCTGTGACAACTTGGTTTGAGGTACATAACTGTATTTCTTTATAACAAAATTACTTACAACATTATGTGTGTTTTTTAAAAATCTCTTTCTTTACTTTTTGAGACAGAGTCTTTTTTGTGTGTGTGATGAATTCCTTCTCTGTCGCCCAGGTTGGAGTGCAGTTTTTATTGTTAGTAGAGACGGATCTCAGGTGATCCACGTCTCAGTTTCCCATAGTGTTGGGATTACAGGCCTGAGCCACAGGGCCCCCCAACTTTTTTTTATTTCTTATGTGTATGGTCCTGTGATAGACCACCTCAGAGTCCATGAGCCCAGAAGCTGACACTCTAAATGTCTATTTCAAATAAATTTATGCAAACCAAAATCTCTGCCACGAAATTCTCAGAAAGACAAGAGATGAAAAAAAAAAAAAAATTGTGAGGCCAGGCATGGTGGCTCACGCCTGTAATCCCAGCACTTTGGGAGGCCGAGGCGGGCGGATCACCTGAGGTCAGGAGTTTGAGACCAGCCTGGCCAAAATGGTGAAACCCTGTCTCTACTAAAAATACAAAAAAAAAAATTAGCCAGGCCTGGTGGTGGGCATCTGTAATCCCAGCTACTTGGGAGGCTGAGGCAAAGAGAATCGCTTGAACCTGGAAGGGGGAGGTTGCAGTAAGCCAAGATGGCCCCACTGCACTTCAGCCTGGGCTACAGTGTGAGACTGTTTGGTGGGAGGGATTCACTGCCTGGCCGCAATTTTTTTTTTTTTTTTTTTTTGTGACGGAGTTTCGCTCTTGTTACCCAGACTGGAGTGCAATGGCGCGATCTTGGCTCACAGCAACCTCCGCCTCCTGGGGTCAAGCAATTTTCCTGCCTCAGCCTCCCGAGTAGCTGGGACTACAGGCGCGTGCCACCATGCCCAGCTAATTTTTTTGTATTTTTAGTAGAGACGGGTTTCACCACGTTGACCAGGGTGGTCTCGATTTCTTGACCTCATGATCTGCCTGCCTTGGCCTCCCAACGTGCTGGGATTACAGGTGAGACACTGTGCTCAGCTGGAAAAACACTTTTTCAAAAACGACAGCTTAGAAAACTAGAGAGTTTATACCAGAACATATTTTTGCAGATGCAGTAAAAGAAATACTGAATCTGTAATTAAGTCTATGCAAATACCAAGAGAATGTAAGGTAGAAATATATAAGGCACTGACACTTCAGATATACTAAATCACAGTGCTGAGTAAAGTTGGTAGAAAAGTTATTTGTATATACCTTTAAGAGGATCAGAAGGTTTTTTTGCAGTTATAATTACATTCAAAATATATTGCTTTTTTTTTTTTTTTTGAGAGGGAGTTTCGGTCCTTACCTAGGCTGGAGTGCAGTGGCGTGATCTCAGCTCACGGCAACCTCCGCCTCCTGGGTTCAAGCAATTCTCCCGCCTCAGCCTCCCGAGTAGCTGGGACTACAGGCTCGCGCCACCATGCCCAGCTAATTTTTGTATTTTTAGTAGAGACGGGGTTTCACCATGTTGACCAGGACGGTCTTGATCTGTTGACCCTGTGATCCACCTGCCTCGGCCTCCCACAGTGCTGGGATTATAGGCGTGAGCCACCGCGCCCGGCTTTCAAAATATATTTCTTAAAAAATATTACAGATTTTTTGCAAAGTGAATAATGATGTCAGTCAACTCTGAAATTACTTCCTGCGATTTCTTCATTCCTATTGGATTCACATGTTAAAACATGGGATCAATTGTTGCGGCATCAAAGCTATGACCCGGCGCCCACCCCCTCGGGGGCCCTTCGCAGGGGCGCGACGGCTTAAAAAAAATAGATATAAGAGACTCTTTTTGTTTTTCTGAGACGGAGTTTCACTCTTTCGCCCAGGCTGGAGTGCAGACATGATCTCGGCTCACTGCAACCTCTTTCAGTTTCAAGTGATTCTCCTGCCTCAGGCTCCTGAGTAGCTGGATTACAGGCACCTGTCAACACGCCTGGTAAAATTTTGTATTTTTATTTATTTTTTTGAGACGCAGTCTCGCACTGTTGCCCAGGCTAGAGTGGAGTGGCACGATCTTGGCTCACTGCAACCTTCACCTCCCGTGTTCAAGCGATTCTTCTGCCTTAGCCTCCCAAGTAGCTAGGACTACAGGTGCCCACAACCACGCCCGGCTAAATTTGTGTGTGTGTGTATACACATTTTATAGAGACAGGGTTTCAGGCTGGTCTTAAACTCCTGACCTAAGGCGATCCACCCGCCTCGTCCTCCCAAAGTGCTGGAATTACAGGCGTGAAACAACGTGCCCAGCCAATTTTTGTATTTTTAGTAGATGGAGTTTTACCATGTTGGCCAGGCTGGTCTCAAACTACTGACCTCATGATCCACTCACTTCGGTCTCCCAAAGTGCTGGGATTACAGGTGCGAGCCACTGCGCCCAGCAAATTTTTTTTTGGGTGGCATTATTTATGATCTTTTCTATAGAAAGATAAAGACATTAAAATGTAAGATGCATAATGAAAACCTAAATGGGGATTCTTTGGGGTTAACTTGTAATACTGACTGATGCATGAGGTAAGTGTTCAGAGTAATAGTCTGTATTATCATGACAAGAAAACATGTTTTATTTAAAATTAGTATCATACTAATTGCAGTTTTATATAATAAATGCAATAGTTAAAATTTTAGATGATGTGTGAAGTTAAGAGTTTAATTCCACATTTTTAACATGTAAAATACTACTCTCCATTCAATGAAGTGTTATCATACCACAACCTTTAACCTCTCCCACCTTACTAAAGGGTATAGGTAAAAGGTGGTAACAATATGCTATTTAGTAATATAATGGATTAACATCTCTAGTGATTTTTTTTTTTTTTTTTGCCTGTGGCTTTCAACTGCAAATAAGTTAAAGAATATTGTTTCTATAGGTTAAATTTTTATTGTTTTTAATCTTTTAAATTTATTTTAATTTTGGTGGGTACCTGAGTATATATTTATGCAATATATGGCTTTTGTTGTTGTTGTTGAGATGGAGTTTCGCTCGTTACCCAGGCTGGAGTGCAATGGCGCGATCTCGGCTCGCCGCAACCTCCGCCTCCTGGGTTCAGGCAATTCTCCTGCCTCAGCCTCCTGAGTAGCTGGGATTACAGGCACGCGCCACCGTGCCCAGCTAATTTTTTTGTACTTTTAGTAGAGACGGGGTTTCACCATGTTGACCAAGATAGTCTCGATCTCTTGACCTCGTGATCCACCGGCCTCGGCCTCCCAAAGTGCTGGGATTACAGGCTTGAGCCATCGCGCCCGGCCTACACTTTATATTTTTAAGTGTATAGTTAAATTGTTATTTACTACAGGGTTATTTTTATGGTCATAATAAAAATTATATAATTATAAATAAAATTCATTTTCATTTATTTATTTGAGACGGAGCCTTGCTCTGTCACCCAGGCTGGAGTGCAGTGGTGTGATCTTGGCTCACTGCAACCTCTGTCTCCCAGGTTTAAGTGATTCTGCTGCCTCAGCCTCCGGAGTAGCCGGGATTACAGGCGGCCACCATGCCTGGCTAATTTTTGTATTTTTAGTAGAGATGGGGTTTCACCATGTTGGCCAGGCTGGTCTTGAACTCCTGATCTTGTGATCCACCCACCTCAGCCTACTAAACTGCTGGGATTACAAGTGTGAGCCTCCTCACCCAGCCTTAAAATTCATTTTTAATTTTTTTTTTTTTTTAATGCAGAGGCACGATTTTGCCTCTTGGCTCACTGCAACCTCCGCCTCCTGGGTTCTAGCGATTCTCCTGTCTCAGCCTCCAGTAGCTGGGATTACAGGTGTGCACCGCAGCCAGCTCATTTTGTATTTTTAGTAGAGACGAGGTTTTACTGTGTTGGTCAAGCTGGTTTCAAACTCCTGACTTTGTGTTCCACATGCCTCGGCCTTCCAAAGTGTTAGGGTTACAGGCGTGAGCCATCATGCTTTCCCCATTTTTCAATTCTTAATAATTTTTTTTCAAATTTCTTATATTTCTCTGAACTTGTGGCCTGTCTGCCTGCAAACACATACAGACTTTTAGTTTTGATTTACATAGAATTAAATATATATTAGTCAAAAGACAAACCTCAAATGTAACAAAATTATGAAGTGTTTGTGTATGAGCTTGTGTATTTTCAAAAGAGAAATATGGAAACAAAACTCATTTTAATAAGGTGACTACCTATAAAACTAGAAACCTAAAAAATGCTGAAAACAACGTATACTTTCTGCTTTGTATTAAGTTTACTACTGTACAATCTATGACTTACAGTTCTGAATATTCCCGTGCAAATTCTTTGTATTTACTTGCCTGGTACTCATGCTAGACCCATACATTTTTGTTTCTGAGATTTTTTGTTTGTTTTATGGTTTATGAAGCATTATGTAAGCTGGTCTGTGGTAAGATTTTTCTATGAAATTAAGTGCACACAATTTTTAGCTGTAATTTCAAAATTAGTGTATTAATTTACTATTCATTTAGAGCCCTCCATTTTTTTTTTTTTTTTTGACAGTCTCCTTCTGTCACCCAGACTGGGGTGCAGTGGCATGATCTCAGCTCACTGCAACCTCCACCTCCTAGGTTCAAGCAATTCTCCTGTCCCAGCCTCCTGAGTAGCTGGGATTACAGGCACAAACCGCCATGCCCGGCTGATTTTTGTATTTTTAGTGGAGACGGGGTTTCACCATGTTGGTCAGGCTCATCTTGATTTCTTGACCCTGTAATCCACCTGTCTTGTCCTCTCAAAGTGCTGGGATTACAGGCGTGAACCATCACCTCTGGCCTCCACCTTGTTAATTAATTAATTATTTATATTTATTTTTAAAGATGGGGTTTCACCATGATGGACAGGCTGGTCTTGAACTCCTGACCTCAGGTGATCCACCCACCTCGGCCTCCCAAAGTGCTGGGATTATAGGCGTGAGCCACTGCGCCTGGCCTCCATCTTGTTTTTTTTCTTGTTACCCAGGCTGGAGTGCAATGGCGTGATCTCGGCTCACCGCAACCTCCGCCTCCTGGGTTCAGGCAATTCTCCTGCCTCAGCCTCCTGAGTAGCTGGGATTACAGGCACGCGCCACCATGCCCAGCTAGTTTTTTGTATTTTTAATAGAGACGGGGGTTTCACCATGTTGACCAGGATGGTCTTGATCTCGACCTCGTGATCCACCCACCTCAGCCCCCCAAAGTGCTGGGATTACAGGCTTAAGCCACCGCGCCTGGCCCATGAGGATTTTTTATAAGTAAATGTAGCAAACAGAGTTCTTGCTGTGCAATAGATGCTCCATAGTAATTCATAAATATTCCTGCTGGAGTTAGTTTGTAACTTCAAGTCAGAGATGAAAAATATCAATGGTGAGGCCAGGCACTGTGGCTCACGCCTATAATCCCAGCACTTTGGGAGGCTAGGGCGGGTGGATCACCAGGTCAAGAGATTGAGACCATCCTGGTCAACATTGTGAAACCCCATCTCTACTAAAAACAAATACAAAAATTAGCTGGGCATGGTGGTGCACGTCTGTGATCCCAGCACTTTGGGAGGCCAACGGATGAATTACCTGAGGTCAGGAGTTCCAGACCAGCCTGGCCAGCTGTGAAACCCTATCTCTACTAAAAATACAAAAATTAGCCGGGCGTGGTGGCACACAACCGTAGTCCCAGCTACTCTGGAGACAGGAGACTTGCTTGAGGCTGGGAAATGGAAGCTGCAGTTACACAAAATCGCACTATTGCTTTCCCACTTGTGCGAAAGAGGGAGATTCTGTCTCAAAAAGAAAAAAAAAAAAAAAAAAAAAAATTGCGGGATGCTGTGGCTCCAGTCTGTAATCCCTGCACTTTGGGAGGCCAACTCAGGAGGATCACGAGGTCTGGAGTTCCAGACCAGCCTGGCCAAGATGGTGAAACCCTGTCTCTACTAAAAGTACAAAAATTAGGTGTGCACTCAGTCAGTAGTGGGCACCTGTAATCCCAGCGACTCAGGAGGCAGAGGCAGGAAAATCGCTTGAACCCAGGAGGTGGAGGATGCAGTGAGCTGAGATCGTGCCACTGCACTCTAGCCTGGTTGACAGAGCAAGACTCCGTCTCAAAAAAACATTTTTTTAAAAGAAATGAATCAATTCAGTATTTCCACTAATGATAATAGTTTTTATGACATCTATTCTTTTTTTTTTTTTTTTTGAGACGGGGTTTCAGCATGTTGGTCAGACTGGTCCTGAGCTCAGGTAATCCACCCACCTCGGCCTCCCAAAGTGCTGGAATTACAGGCATGAGCCACTGTGCCCAGCCGACATCTCCTGTTCTTAACTGCTCCATAAGCCTGCTGAATCACAGGGAAGGCCATAGGAGCAATCACTGTTTACATGCTTTTTGTCAGGTAGCTCTTATGAGACTGCAAATGTATTATTTCCAACCAGACACCAACATGCAGTATTTACTTTCTATTTAATAGGGAAAAGCCTCATGTTTTTGCTTTCAACTATCACGGTCATAAAGAAATCGTCCCAGTTCCCTGATAGCACTGCTTCTCCCCCACCTGCATGAGACAGCCTCTGCGAGGCTCCCCAATGGCCTGCCTTGCTTCTTGTTTCTGGTGGAAGTGTATTAAACACCTTTCAATGGCATTCACCTTTCTTTTATGAATTAAGATCCAGGCACAATTCAAGAAATCGTGTTGCTGTGCTTTGTTACCAGAAATAATAGGGGGTTGGGCCCAGCGTGGTGCCTCAGGCCTATAACCCCAGCACTTTGGGAGGCTGAGGTGGGGAGATCAAGAATAGATGTCATATGCCCTGACTTGAGGTCATGAGTTTAGGACCAACCTAGCCAACACAGCAAAACCCTATCTCTACTAAAAGTAACAAAATTAAGGTGTGGTAGCAGGCACCTGTAATCCCAGCAACTCAGGAGCCTGAGGCAGGAAAATCGCTTGAACTGGTGAGGCGGATGTTGCAATGAGCTCAGATGGCACGACTGCACTTCAGCCTAGGTGACAGAGGAAGACTGCCTAAAGGTATATAGACAGTTTGATAAAGATAACACTTCATTTTCAGGCTTCTCTAGGAAGCATAGGTATTTTATATTCATTCTTGAAATCCATGAGGGTAGAATGCCTTTATTTATTTGCATTCTCTCTGATTACGTTCAGTGATGTTTTGTATTTTTGTTTTTTTTTTTAATTGAGATGGAGTTTCACCCTTCTTGCCCAGGCTGGAGTGCAGTGGTGCCAGCTCAGCTCACTACCACCTCTGCCTCCCCTGTTGAAGTAATTCTCCTGCCTCAGCCTCCCCAGTAGCTGGGATTACAGGCATGCACCACCATGCCTGGCTAATTTTGTATTTTTAGTAGAGACCGGGTTTTTCCATGTTGATCAGGCTGGTCTCAACTTCTCAGCCTCCCAAAGTGCTGGGATTACAGGTGTGAACCACTGCACCCAGCAATTTCTGCTGCTTCTTAAGATGCTTTAAGTGGCTCCTGTTATCTTGAGATATATTTCATCAATGCCTACTTGGTTGAGAATATTTTCTTGAATGAATACTGAATTTCTGTGAATGCTTTTTCTGGATCTATTTCGTTAATCATATATTTTATTTTTAATTACATATGTACAGTGAATCGCACAGTGACTTGTATATGCTGAAACATCCTTGCATATGTGATATAATGATCACATGATGTGGCAAAACCACTTTTTGATTTGCCTGTGAACTCAGCTTGCTAGTATTCATGGAGGGTTTTTGTTTCAATGTTCACCAAAAATATTGGCCTGTAGTTTTTTGTTTTTGTTGGGTTTTCACTAAACTTTGATATCAAGATGATACAGATTCTATATAATGAATTAAGGTAGAATTTCACCTGGGTTTTTTTTTTTTTAATACATTCAGTAGAATTAGTACCAACTCATCTTTTTATATGTGGTAAAATTTGGCTATGATTTTATATAATCCAGGGCTTTCAAGGTTGGTAGGTTTTTAAATTATTACTTCACTTTCATCATATATTTTATACATTTTCTTCCTGTTCAAGAGTTCTATTTCTTCCTGGTTCAGTCTTGGAAAGTTGTGTGTATTTAGAAGTTTATTTTCTCCAAATTTTCTAGTTTGCAGGCACAGAGATTTTCATAGTAGTCACTGATGATTTTTTTGCATGTATGTATGTATGTTTTGTATGTATGTAGAATTAGTTGTGATTTCACATCTGTAACATTTAAATAGATGCAGAGTGCAAAAAGAAAAAAAAGAGAGGCAGGAGAATCGTTTGAACCTGGGAGGCAGAGGTTGCAGGAAGCCGAGATTGTGCCACTGCACTCCAGACTGGTGACAGACTAAGCGTTCATCTCAAAAAATAACAGTAATAAAATTTCAATAAATACAAACTGTAGACTAATCTCCCACTAAAAGAACTATTAAAAAATGAGTGAGAAATGTCTCCAAATTGTAAAATTCACATAGAAAAGACATTATTTTTCTAAACTGTAAATTCACAGAGGTCATTTCATTATTCTGCAACCTTTAACACTCACACTTAAAAGATTCTGCATAGAAATATAATTTGTGCTGTAAGCATATCATAAACAATTAAAATTATTTACCACTAACTCTTAAAAATTTAATTTTTGTTTCTAGCAAGTTTTATATTTGCCACACTAAGAATCTAAGATTTTTCTTTTAAAAACAAAGAAAAACAATCCTAATTAATTTATTCCACTTACCTGTCGACAGTGCGTGCCTTTTATATTTTGTTTTTTGAGTCAGAGTTTTACTCCTGTTTCCCAGGCTGGAGTGCAGTGGCGTGATCTTGGCTCACTGTAACATCCACCTCCCTGGTACAAGCGATTCTTCTGCCTCAGCCTCCCAAGTAAATGTGCCACTGCCCAGCTAATTTTGTATTTTTAGTACAGATAGGGTTTCACCATGTTGATCTGGCCAGTCTCGAACTACTGACATCAGGTGATCCACCCAACTTGGCCTCCCCAAGTGTTAGGATTATAGGCGTGAGCCATCGCATCTGGCAATTAATTTCTTTTTTCATTTTCTTTTTAAACAGTCTCACTCTGTTGCCTAGATTGGAGTGCAGTGGCATGATCATGGCTCACTGCAACCTCCTGTGAGCTACTTGGGAGGGTGAGGCGGAAGAATAGCTTTGAACCTGGGAGGCAGAGGTTGCAATGAGCCGAGATGCTAACACTGCACTCCAGCCTGGTGATAGAACGAAACTTATATCCAAAAAAAAGAAAAATAAAAGTTTTAAATAAAATCTGCTTTAAAATTTGATACCTGATAACCTCACTTTGGTTTTCGAATTGGCTGACAACCAAAATGCAACTCTTGCCATCTAACTACAATTAAAAGGAAATTCTAAGGCTGCTAAGTGGTCAAAAGTTTCACTTTCACCTTTTTTTAAAAAAGATACATAATTTGGGTGGGCACGGTCACTCACGCCTGTAATCCCAGCACTTTAGGATGCCAAGGAAGGGAGATCATGAGGTCAGGTGTTTCAGATCAGCCTGACCAACATAGTGAAACCCTATTTCCTGTAAAAGTACAAAAAAATTAGCCTGGTGTAGTGGCGCAGGCCTGTAATCCCAGCTACTCAGGAGGCTGAGGCATGAGAATCGCTGGAACCCTGGAGTCACAGGTTGCAGTGAGCCCAGATCGTGCCACTGCACTCCAGCCTGGGCAACAGTCTCACTTCCAACTTTTTAAAAAGATACATAATTAGCCAGGCGCGGTGGCTCAAGCCTGTAATCCCAACACTTTGGGAGGCCGAGGCGGGTGGGATGACGAGGTCAAGAGATCTAGACCATCCTGGTCAACATGGTGAAACCCCGTCTCTACTAAAAATACAAAAAATTAGCTGGGCACGGTGGCGTGTGCCTGTAATCCCAGCTACTCAGGAGGCTGAGGCAGGAGAATTGCCTCAACCCAGGAGGTGGAGGTTGCGGTGAGCCGAGATCACGCCATTACACTCCAGCCTGGGTCACAAGAGCTAAACTCTGTCTCAAAAAAGATACATAATTTTCCAAAAAATTTTTATGACCATTTGAATAGTTGGGCTTTTGCTAATCACTCATAATCAACGGAATTATATTTTGCAAGCTCTAAGAGAACACTTAATATTCATATCAGAAACCCATGATTATAATGTATGGATCTGGTACAAACAATCTTTTTTATACATTGAATTCTGCATTTTATTCTTCCATATGTATGAGATTCACCAGTACCAGTTTTCTCTTGTGGCATAAAGAGCTGATTGTTATTTGTATTACCTATTAAAATTCTGTGGCAGCTCATGGTATTATTGACCGTATGTTCTAGTGTCCTTTTGCAGATTTAAATATTTAAATGTAGTGTCAATTTAATATTTAGATGTGTTACCTGTCTGGATAATCTGTAATTAAACAGATCTTTTGTAATGGTAATTTGCACACACTGAAAATCCAGGAAGGCAATTATTTTCCTCCTTTTTTTTTTTTTTGGAGATGGAGTTTCACTCGTTACTCAGGCTGGAATGCAATGGCACGATCTCGGCTCACCGCAACCTCTGCCTCCTGGGTTCAGGCAATTCTCCTGCCTCAGCCTCCTGAATAGCTGGGATTACAGGCATGCACCACCATGCCCAGCTCATTTTTGTATTTTTAGTAGAGACAGGGTTTCACCATGTTGACTAGGATGGTCTCGATCTCTTGACCTTGTGATCCACCCGCCTCAGCCTCCCAAAGTGCTAGGGTTATAGGCGTGAGCCACCGCGCCCAGCCTGATCTCGATCTCTTGACCTTGTGATTCACCCACCTCGGCCTCCCAAAGTGGTAAGATTACATGCTTGAGCCACCACACCTGGCCATTATTTTTCTCTTTTTAACTGGAAATCACATTTGTAAGTTGTGATATCGATTATCAGCAGTGCATTCATGATTCAATTTATATTTTGTGTGTCTGGTAAGAAATTTTACATAGCATTCAATTTGAATATAAGTCTTGAGCCTTAGGAAATTAATTCTACAAATCTTATAGATATAAATGTATCAACCTTTTATGTTTTGCAAAGATATATATACATTCCATTTATTAAAATACTGGAATTGGTGTTATAGATAGTTGTAGATATCAGAATGAAAATAAAATGTGAAAATTACAGCTTAATAAATATTTATGGTAAAGGTAAATAAATACAAGATATAAATTATGCTTTTTTTTTTTTGAGCCAGAGCCTCACTTTTGCTGCCCAGGCTGGAGTGCAGTGGCACAATCTCAGCTTGCTGCAACCTCTGCTTCCTGAGTAGCTGGGGCTACAGGCATGTGCCACCACACCAGGTTAATTTTTGTATTTTTAGTAGAGACGGTGTTTCACCATGTTGGCCAGGCTGGTCTCAAACTCTTGACCTCAGGATCTGCCCATCTAGGCCTCCCAAAGTGCTGGAATTACAGGCGTGAGCCACCGTGCCTGGCCTAAATTAGACATCTTTACAAGGTAGTTATTTACAGTGGCTTAGAATTTACATGGCAAGCTGAAAAACTGAAAAAGTTAAACGCATGCTTTGGCAGTTTAGCTTTTCTGAAGTGTTTAAATAGAATAGAGTAAAATAATACATCTCAAAATATCAACTTTTCTGGTAATTTTCAGATCAAAACAGTTAAATTTTATAAAATTTTATGCTGGTCAATTTGATGAGAAGCTTCGTTCTTAAAACTGTTACAAGTGGAAGAGATTACAGAATGATGGTGCTTTCATGTTGGGGGGGGAGAGAAAATTATTACCAGGGGCTAGACATTCATTAGTCTCAACGTTGACTTCACTACTATTTTGTCTCCAATTATGTTAATAATAAAGTCATGGCCTTGACCCAAGGTATTTTCTTAAAACTGATGTTTCTGGGCCTGGTGTGGTGGCTCACAACAGTAATCCCACACTTTGGGAGGCCAAGGCGGGCGAATCACCTGAAGTTAAAATTTCAAGACCAGCAGAGTTTTGAGATTGTCTCAAAAAACAACAACCAAATAAAAAACAACAAAAAATACGTTGTCAGCCATATTAATAAAAAAATGCATAGAAATGAAGATATTTAAGTCACAATTTATATTTTAAAAACAAAATGCTCTGGAAACCTTTTTCTTGAAAGGTTTTCTAGGTAGAGTATTATATCATCAGTAAAGAAAGTTTAATTTTTTTTTTTTTTACTTACATGCTTTTTTTGTTTGTTTTTGTTTTTTTGAGATGGAGTTTCGCTGTTGTTACCCAGACTGGAGTGCAGTGGCACGATCTTGGCTTACCACAACCTCCGCCTCCTGAGTTCAAGCAATTCTCCTGCCTCAGCCTCCCGAGTAGCTGGGACTACAGATGCGCACCACCATGCCCAGCTAATTTTTGTATTTTTAGTAGAGACGGGGTTTCACCTTGTTGACCAGGATGGTCTCGATCTCATGACATCGTGATCCACCCGCCTCGGCCTCCCAAAGTGCTGGGATTATAGGCGTGAGCCACTGGCTTTTTAAAATTTTGTTGGATTTGTCTGACTAGGATTCTACAATTACGTTCAATAGGAGTGTTACAGTAGTAGATATCCTTGTCTCATTTTTATTCTAATGAAGAATACATGCAACTGTTTGTGTTTTTAGTATGTTGGCTGAGGATTTTTCATATGTCTCTTATTATTTTGAGGTATGTTTTGCCAATACTTCCTTTGTTGAGAATATACTTGTGAATGAATATTGAATTCCCTAAGTGCATTCTCTTCATCTGTTAATTGTGTAACTTTTTGCTTTAATTATCTTTACTTGGTGAATTGCAGTTACTGACTTGCATACGATGAAACATCTTCACATACATGAATAAAGCTCACAACTGTGACAAAACAATCTTTTGATTTGCTTATGAACTCAGATTGCTAGTGTTTCATGGAGGATTTTTGTTTCAATGTTTACCAAAACTATTGGCCTGTAGTTTCCTTTCTTTGTGCCTTCCCTAGATTTTAGTATCGAGATAATACTGATTTTGTAAAATGAGTTAAGGTGTAATCCCACATTGAGTATTTGGAGTACATTCAGTAGGAGGAAGAGCTCATCTTTGTATATTTGGTAACATTTGTCTGTGATTTTATATAATTCAGGGCTCTTATGGTTGGTAGGTTTCTTATTACTAATTCAGTTTCATCATCTATTTTACACATTTTTGCCTGGTGCAAGACTTCTGTTTCTTCCTGGTTCAATTTTGGAAAGTTTGTGAGCAACTGCTTCAGTTTTCCTCTAGTACAAAAGGCGTACAATAAGATCTAATACAAGTAAAGGTACTAGAGCCCTCTTCACATTTGTGATGTTCACCTTCAACAGAAATACTCTTAATCACTTCACAGGTTTATGTTTTCTCAGGCATGCACCACCACGCCTGGCTAATTTTGTATGTTTTTAGTAGAGACAGGGTTTCTTTCTCCATGTTAGTCAGGCTGGTCTCAAGCTCCTGACTTCAGGTGATCTGCCTGCCTAGGGCTCCCAAAGTGCTGGGATTACAGGTGTGAGCCACCGCACCCGGCTCAAAGACCTTTTGGCAATAATTGCACTTACCATGTTTTTACTAAGTATGAACTCTCTGGTGATGCACAAGATGTGAGCCAATATTAATGTGTTTCTCACAGTCTTATATTTGTACAATTTTTCTCAAAAATAAATGCTTTGCTGTACAATAAGGTGTATTGGTTGAAAGTTTTGGCACACTGGTCTTGTTTGTAGCGTTTCCCTCCAGCATGAATTATACTATGAGTAGTAAGAGTTGAGGATTGGTTAAAAACTTTGCCACACTTTTCACATATCTAAGGCTTCTCTCCAGTATAACTTATGTGTAGTAAGTTGGGAGAATTGCTTAAAGGCTTTGCCACATTCCTCACATTTGCAGATTTTCTCTCCAGTATGAATTATGTTTAGTAATGGATGAGGATTTGTTAAAAGCTTTGCTACATTCTTCACATTTTATGATTTCTCTCCTGTATGAATTATTTTATGTTAAGGTATGAGAATCAATAAAAAGCTTTGAGACATTCTTCATTATTCATAGGGTTTCCCTCCAGAATGAATTATCTTACATGTAGTCAGGGTTGAGAAGTGGTTAAAAGCTTTATCACATTCTTCCTATTTATAGGATTTCTCTCTGCTATGAATTTTCTTATGTTCCTTAAGGGTTGAGGACTGCTTAAAGCCTTTGCCACATTCTTCACATTTGTAGGGTCTCTCTCCAGAATGAATTCTCCTATGTGTAGTCAGGTTTGAGAATAAACTAAAGGCTTTGTCACATTCTTCACATTTGTAGGGTTTTTCTCCAGTATGAATTCTGTTATGTCTTGTAAGGTGTGAGTACCAATTAAAAGCTTTGCCACATTCTTCACAGTTGTAGGGCTTCTCTCCAGGATGAATTTTCTTATGTTTAGTAAAGTGTGAGAACTGGTTAAAAGCTTTGCCACATTCCTCACATTTGTAGGTTTTCTCTCCAGTGTGAATTATCTTATGTTTAGTAAGGGTTGAAAGTACGGTAAAGGCTTTGCCACATTCTTCACATTTGTACGGTTTTTCTCCAGTATGAATTCTCTTATGTCTACTAAGGTATGAGGACAGGGTAAAAGCTTTACCACATTCTTCACATTTGTAGGGTTTCTCTCTGGTATGAATTTTCTTATGTCTACTAAGGTGTGAGTAACAATTAAAAGCTTTGCCACATTCCGCACATTTGTAGGGTCTCTGTCCAGTATGAATTCTCTTATGTGTCGTAAGGGTTGAGCAAACACTAAATGCTTTGCCACATTCTTCACACTTGTAGGGTTTCTCTCCAGTATGAATTCTCTTATGTGTAGTAAGGTGTGAGTACCAGTTAAAATCTTTGCCACATTCCTCACATTTGTAGGGTCTCTGTCCAATATGAATTTTCTTGTGTGTAGCAAGGGTTGAAAATATACTGAAATCTCTGCCACATTCTTCACATTTGTAGGGTTTTCCTCCAGCATGAATTCTCTGATGTCTAGTAAGGGTTGAGAACACATTAAAGGCTTTGCCACATTCTTGACAATTGTAAGGTTTCTCTCCACTATGAATTTTCTTATGTTTAGTAAGGTGTGAGGACCATTTAAAAGCTTTGCCACATTCTTCACATTTGTAGTGTTTCTCTCCAGCATAAATTATCTTATGCCTACTAAGAGTTGAGGACTGGTTAAAAGTTTTTCCACATTCTTCATCTTTGTAAGATTTCTCTCCAGTATGAACTCTCCTGTGTCTAGTAAGGGTTGAGAACCAGTAAAAGGCTTTGCCACATTCTTCACATCGGTAAGAATTCTCTCTAACATGAATTCTTTTATGCTGACTTAGATGTAAAAGCATGTAAAATGATTTGCCACATTGTTTACATTTGAAAGGTTTCTTTCCAGCATGTCTTGTCTTACGTCTATCTGAATTTAACAATTTATGAATGACTTTCCCATATGTATCACATTGAAATATTTTGCTCTGGTTACTTGTCAAACACTGGTTTAGTTCATTATAACCTTCTTTGTGCACATTACACTCATTCACACTTTTACAGCCTTTTCTTAACTGTAAATCCTTATGTCCACATTTTACATATTCTCTCAGTATCACTTTTTGAAAAGAATCTTTTATGCCTGGCCTTTGCCCAAGGTCTTGGCCAAAATGAGAACAAAGAACTGAAAGAAATAAAAATAACAAATTACTCCATTTACTAGTGTCAGATAAATATAGATTACAAATCTAACCTGTAACATTATACCAACTATATAAACAAGATGACATAGCAAAATACCAAAGGATATAATTTTTATAGACATATATATGTAACAAAAACACATTAACCAAAATACATCTCAGAAAAAATTATAAATGAGTTAAGTGTTTGAAGTGCCCCATGTGAGCACAATGCAAAAAGCCACATAGAAGGAAAAAAAAAAACTTTGTTACATTTACCCAACACAGCTCTTCCAGCTCCCCAATATAATATAATGCCTTTAGAAATAAACTGCCAGCCAGGCATGGTGGCTCAATCTGCAATCCCAGCCACTCGAGAGGCTGAGGCAAGAGAATCCCTTGAAAGCAGGAGGCAGAGGTAGCAGTGAGTCAAGATTGTGCCACTGCATTCCACCTTGGGTAGCAGAGCAAGACAACATCTCAAACAACAACAACAACAGAACAGTAAACTGCCAACTTCCAATTTTTTTTAAAGAAAGACAAGTAGGCCGGGTGTGGTGGCTCAAGCCTGTAATCCCAGCACTTTGGGAGGCCGAGGCGGGTGGATTACCAGGTCAGCAGATCGAGACCATCCTGGTCAACATGGTGAAACCCCATCTCTACTAAAAATTACAAAAAATTAGCTGGGCACGGTGGCGTGTGCCTGTAATCCCAGCTACTTGGGAGGCTGGGGCAGGAGAATTGCCTGAACCCAGGAGGCGGAGGTTGCGGAGAGCCAAGATCGCACCATTGCACTCCAGCCTGGGTAACAAGAGCGAAACTCCGTCTCAAAAAAAAAAAGAAAGACAGACTAGTAAAATACTGGCTCCTACATCTTTGTTACTTGCTTGTAGGTGCCTTTCTAGACACTGGTTTCTGTCTCCCATAACACATAGTGCTGACAGAAATGGTGGTGTACTTTGGAATGACAGTTTGAGTCTGCTGAGACCAAAGGGAAATGTTGCAGCAGTGGAGACTTCAGTAACACAGAAAAAAGGAAAGAGAAAAAGAAAAAAGGTGTAGGAAGCGATTACTGAGTATCAAGAAAGAAGATAAATAATTTTCTTTAGCTAAAATTACAAAGCTTCACATAAGACACATTCTAAGAACATGTTTACAAGACTCTCAGAATCTCTGACCCAGACAATTGTTCAAAGTATGCCAGGAGAAGGCCATATTATAAAGATTGAAACAGGTAACTTTTGTTTTTTTCTTAGAGTATCACTCTGTCACCCAGGCTGGAGTGCAGTGGCACGATCTTGGCTCACCGCAACCTCCGCCTCCTGGGTTCAAGAGATTCTCCTGCCTAAGCCTCCTGAGTAGCTGGGACTACAGTTGTGTGGGATCATGCTCGGCTAATTTTTGTATTTTTTAGTAGAAACCAGGCTTCACCATATTGGATAGTCTGGTCTCAAACTCCTGACCCTGTGTTCTGCCCATCTCGGCCTCCCAAAGTGTCAGGATTACAAGTGTGAGCCACCGCGCCCAGCCCAGGTAACTTTTTTTAATGTTCAAATTTTAATAAAAGATTACCTGGCCCTCTTTGTGTATGTGGCCTGAAATGAAGGTTCATTACAGTGGCATGAAGGCAAACAGGATTAAGATAAACATCACCTTCTGATAGCATTAAATTGATTTTTTTAAATGGTAAATGCTGACGTGGATGGGGGACAACTGATTTGAATAAAGTTGAAAGAACATGTCAAAGTCAGTTTTAAGTCACGTTTGAGTACTGTAAATTTTGATCCTTCTAATATGTTGATTTGTATATTCAGTTTTAACTATGAATCTCATTTGCAGATCAGAGTTAGAAAAAGTTAAATTAGTTAAAATAAATGTTTAGTTACACATTAAAAATATTACAACGTATATAAAATATGGCAATGTTTTTCCAACAAAAGTATTAAAAATTGAAAATAAACTGAATAACAATCAATGAGTGAACTATGAACACAGAGAACTATAGAAATCAGAAAACTGGAAATAACAAATACATTTAAAATATTAGAAAAACAGGCAGGACATGGTGGCTCATGCCTGTATTCTCAGCACTTTGGGAAGCCAAGGCAGGCAGATCATGAGGTCAGTAGATCAAGACCATCCTGGCCAAAATGGTGAAACTCTATCTCTGCTAAAAATACAAAAATTAGCCGGGTGTGGGGTGTGGTGGCAGGTGCCTATAATCGTAGCTACTCAGAAGTCTGAGGCAGAAGAATCGCTTGAACCTGGGAAGTGGAGATTGCAGTGAGCAGAGATTGTGCCACTGCACTCCAGCCTGGCGACAGAGCAAGACTCCATCTAAAAAACAAAGAAAAACAGAAATTATGAAGATAAAAAATACAAAAAGGAATAACTGAAAAATCTCTCAAAACTGATGCAAAAATGAAGAAGCCCAACAAACAAACAAGGATACAGAGAAAGATATTTATATGAAACACATATGTAAGCACAATTTTAAAAGTCACAGAAAAGAGAATCTTGGGAGCTGCTAACCCAGCACTTTGGGAGGCCAAGGCAGGCGATCGATCACCTGAGGTTGGGAGTTCATGACCAGTCTGACCAATATGGAGAAACTCTGCCTGTACTAAAAACACAAACCTAGATAAGCATGGTGGTGTATGCCTGTAATCCCAGCAACTCAGGAGCCTAAGGCAGAAGAAACGCTTGTACCTGGGAGGCAGAGGTTGAAGTGAGTTGAGATTGCACCATTTCACTCCAGCCTGGGCAACAAGAGCAAAACTTCGTGTCAAAAAAAAAAAAAAAAAAAAAAAGTAAAGTGTTATTTGCAAGAATACCCTAATGAGATAGGCAGTGAATTCTGAATAAAAATTTTGCAGGCTAGAAGTAAACTGTGTGATATAGCCAAAGTATTGAAAAATACAGCTTTCAAGTGGGTAAAATACCATCACCAAATTTGTCCTACCAAAGAAAAAGAAAAAAACTTCAAAAATAACCGTATTCTAAAAAAGTGTTGGCACTGCCTTACATATAAAAGGTGCAAAGAATCCAAGAGAACAAGAAGTAATTATTAGTAAGTGTCTTTGTTTTAGAAAATTTTTCAGTCAAGAGACATACTTTCTTTGTTTGAGACGAAGTCTCACTCTGTCACCCAAGCTGGAGTCCAGTGGTGAGATCTTAGCTCACTGCAACCTCCATTTTCTGGGTTCAAGCAATTTTCCTGCCTCAGCCTCATGAATAGGTAGGACTACAGGTGTGCAACACTGTACTCAGCTAATTTCTGTATTTTTTTTTTTAAGAGACGGGGATTTCACCATGTTGGTCAGGCTGGTCTTGAACTCCTGACCTTGTGATCTGCCCACCTCGGCCTCCCAAAGTGCTGGGATTTACAGGCATGAGCCACCACTCCCAGCCCTGAAGAGACATAATTTCAATAAAGAAATGTATTTAAAATTATTAAAAAACAAGATCCAATTTGCCTTTCTACAAGGGTCAACTGACATCTAACAATTAAAAAAAAAAAAAGAAGGTGGCAAGATGGATTCAGACATTGCATGCAGATATTAACCAAATGAGAGCAGAAGAGGTCATAATAGTATTACAAAAGCTACATCTTAAGTCAAAAACTGTCATTTTTATATAAAGTACTTTAAGTCAAAACTGCAAAGAGACAAAGAACATTAAACAATAATAGATTTATTTACTGGGAACCTATCACAAATGTGTGTGTGTGTGTGTGTGTGTGTGTGTATGTGTATGTCACACTAAGGTTTGAAATCTATAAAGCAAATATTGACAGACTGAAAGAAATATTTAGAAAAAAATAGGACATTTCAATATCCCACTTTCTATAATAAAAATAAAACAAGACAGTATTCGTAAGTGAAGAGAGGAATTGAAGGCCGTGTAATACAATTGTTCTTAACAGAGACATAGAGAAAACTCCTCGACAAGATCAGGAAACACATTCTTCTCAAAAGCTTATACAACATTCTCTTTGATAGACCACCTGCTAGGCCAAAAAAGGAGTCTTAAAAAATTGTTAAAATTGACATTTTATGGATTACATTCTATGACCAAAATGGAATAAAAGTATAAAATAGAAAAAAAGGTCGGGCGCAGTGGATCAAGCCTGTAATCCCAGCACTTTGGGAGGCTGAGGCAGGCAGATCACCTGAGGTCAGGAGTTCAAGAACAGCCTGACCAACATGGAGAAACTGCACCTCTACTAAATATACACAGTTAGCTAGGCATGATGGTGCGTGCCTGTAGTCCCAGCTACCTGAGAGGCTGAATCAGGAGAATTGCTTGAACCTGAAAGGTGGAGGTTTGCAGTGAGCCGAAATCTTTCCATTGCACTCCAGCCTGAACAAGAGCGAAACCTTGTCCCTCAACACCAAAATAAATAAATAATAAATAAAAATTTAAAATGTACCAATACAAATTAAACAACACACTCATCAGCACGCTCCTGTTCAAAGGTTGAAATAATCTGAAGATGTTCATACTGCTCATGTAATCTGCAGATTTAATGCAATGTTTTTCAAAATTTCTCATTCCATTTTTGAGGCAATACAAATAGCAACCTCAAAAGTATATGGAATCTCAAGAGACAAGGAAGTACCCAACAGTCTTCAAAGGAAAAACAATGTTAAAGGCATTACAGTTTCTGATTTCAAAACACATTCCAGGCCAGGGATAGTGGTGCATGCCTGTAATCCCAGTATTTTGGAAGGCCAAGATGGGCAGATCCTCTGAGGTCGGAAGTTCAAGACCAACCCAGCTAACACGATGAAACCCCATCTTTACTAAAAATTCAAAAAAAATTAGTTGGGTACAGTGGTGGGCACCTGTAATCACAGTTACTTGGAAGGAGGATGAGGCACAAAAATTGCTTAAACCCAGGAGACGGAGGTTGTAGTGAGCCGAGATGGTACCACTGCACTCCGGCCTGCATGACAGAGTGAGACTCCATCTCAAAAAAAAAAAAGAAAGAAAAGAAAAA